AGTGATGTGATGTGATGTGATGTGATGTGAAGTGATGTGATGTGAAGTGATGTGAAGTGATGTGAAGTGAAGTGAAGTGATGTGAAGTGATCTGAAGTGATGTGATGTGAGGTAGGTAGACAGGTAGGTAGATAGATAGGTAGGTAGATAGGTAGGTAGATAGGTAGGTAGATAGGTAGGTAGATAGGTAGGTAGATAGGTAGGTAGATAGGTGGGTAGATAGGTAGGTAGATAGGTAGGTAGATAGGTAGGTAGATATGTTGGTAGATAGGTAGGTAGATAGATAGGTAGGTAGGTAGGTCGTTCTATCTTTTGCTAATGCATGCAGCTCTCCCTATGTCCTCCCCATCTTTCTAACTTCATTCTCAGACTCCCTTCTCCATGTGTTTTTGGCCTTCCTTTATTCCTATGCCTCTGGGGTTTCCAGTGCAAAGAAATTCTAGTTATATTGTTCTCCAGTTTTCTCAGTGTGTGTCCTATCCAACGCCAGCGTCTTTTCTTCACCTCTTAGTCCACTGGAGCTTGCTTAGCCGCCTGAGGGTTCTAGCTGTTTTTCCATCTCTGGACTTAGTCTTGTTCCAGAACCTTAGTGTTGCGTGCATATCCGTTTAACAGATCTGACTTAACTGTCTGCGATTGGTGGTTCTCTGCCTCACAGGAAGATGCACTCCGGCTTCGAAGGAAGACCCCGATTACTCTACTCTTACGACATGCTTGTTGGGAAGGCAGTGGGTCAGTTCCTGTTTTTCCTTCAACGGGGTCCTGGAACCAACACGGGGATGTTGGCTGTTAATGATTTTACTAAGCAGTTTTACATTGAGTAGTTTGCCATTGCTTACCGGACGTTCGACCCTCCATACTATTGTCGAAATCAGACCACAGCGGTCTGCTGTCCCAATCACATGCAGCTGACTCCAACCAGGTATTGTGGAGTTATGAACCACGCCGACGCATGGTAGAATGCTGTATTGCTATTCTGTTCTTCCCTTATAGCAGCGGTTCTCAACCTATGGGTTGCGCACCTTTTTGGGGTCGAACGACTCTTTCACAGGGGTCGAGTTAAGACCATCGGAAAACGCATATTCATCGAAGTTATGAAGTAGCATAGAGAGTCATTTGATGGCTGGGATTCACCACCACATGAGGAACTATATTTGGACTTCCGGTCAAAATGGACGTTAGGCAGCGGCACTGTTCGAAACAGAGGCAAATTTGTTGCTTCTGCTAGACAGTGGCCGATGCATTTTTGCTCCATTTGTAGACTGGATATAGTTTTGTCGCCCAGCTTCTGAGCTGAATGCATGGCGTGACCCTGTGAGCTGCGGATTACATTTGGAATGTTTTTTCGACTGTGACCAACGTGTTGGTGTGAATTGTAGATTCAGAAAATGGCGCGATGCCTGTCGTGCAGTGTTGTGGTGCCCGTATGTGATTAAAATTAATCGCGTGGGCAACTGCTGATCTGTTGGCGACTTCTGCTACCATCAATGATAAACTGCAATTCTAATACTGTGATAAACATTCTGTGTGTTTTTCGTTGGCACAGGAGCGGAGCAAAGATGGAGTGACAGGTTTGCTATGAAGCTGAAACTAAGACTACCAGACTACCAGAGGAACTATATTTAAGGGTCGCGGCATTAGAAAGGTTGAGAATCACTGCCTTATGGAGGAGGTTAGTTGCGTATCCTTTACAGAACGTTGCAGAACCAACCCCACTTAGCCACAGAGCCGACACTGCCTTATGGGGTTCGCTAAAATAAATGCGATAGTCTGTAGTCGAATATTCAGTCTCACTGTCCCGTTCCACTATAAAGAAGAATGTCGGCTCTGTGGCTAAGTCAATGCGAGCGCTTCGTAATGCCGGGATGCCGCGTTCGATCCTAGATGCGGGCCATGCGCCTTGCGTTAGTTTCGACAGTGGTATCAAGAAAGCCGACCTCCAGGGCAATGGCAAACTAATGGACGTAAATTTGCCTAGAAAAATCACACAACAGCTAGGGGCTGTTGGGGTTGGTTCTGCAACGTCATGTAAAGGATACGCAACTAACCATATAGAAGAATTGAGAGCCACCGTGGTCTAGCGACTAGACGCTTGCCTGTGGATGGGAAAGTCATGGGTTCGTGTTCCTGACGGAGGCCGGACTTTTTTCAAAAATGACCTTGGCTCCCAGATAGACCCAGTCTTGAGTGGATACCGGGTGCAGTCCCGGAAACTAAAGTCGGGCAGCGTGATGCTGACATCACCCACCAAGTGTCATTTGGTCTATAAAATTGAGGTCTAGCCCTATGTACCCAATACGCCTGAAAGGCGGGGAAAAGGGTCCTTTTCTTTTACTTTTTCAAATAGAAGAATTCATATGCAAAACATGTGTAACCCGGTAGCTATAGGTGCCAGTACCAATAGTTCGCCGCTGGAATTGCAATACATAGTCATATTATGGTACTTGTTTCTATCGTCTTTTTCAGGATGAAATGTTTTATTTGAAGCTCCACCCTGGCTTTTGTCGGGGGCCGCAATATAGGAAGGCCATAAATATGGCCAAACGTCTGAACGCGGTTTCTGGGACCTCTCCACGGCGATCCTCATCCGCATGGTGGCACTTTGTGTCATCGGGTGTTTATCGCTTGTGTGATGTCCTGGTGGAGTATAAAGTCAGTCAGTCAGGCAATATATAGTTGCTGGGAGTATTCAGTTGCCATAAGCTGCCGATAGCACACGCAATACTACACAAGGCACTGAATAATAACATAACTTGAATTGAAGTGGACACAAACGAAAGGCATTTCACATAAAGGACACAGCTTATACTATTTTATCAAGCACTCATCTCGCTGGCTGCACAAGAAACCATGGACTTAATGGTTTTTTAAAATAAAATATTCGTTAGCAAACTTTGGCTACAAGCAGATAACACTGGCCTTTAACACCCGCTTATCGCCATATTAGACCGAAAGTTATATACACAATAAAACTGCTATTCTATTTAATTATTTTTGTGGTTGTGCGTGTGTGTGCGTGCGTGTGTTTGCGTGCGCGCGCGCGTGTGTGTGT